TTTTTTTTTTTTTTTTTTTTTTTTGTACCTAGGATTGAACTCAGGTCTATTGTGCTTGTGAAGTAGGCACTGGAACCACTGAGCTGAATCTCCGGCCCATAGTACCTCATTCTTAAAGCAGAGAAAGAGGCTTAGACACTATGAGATTGAAGTCTGCATTCATATAACTTTATAGTCTGTAATTTTCAGAGTTAGATTTGATTTTTTTCTCCAGCTTACTACTCTAGCAAGTAGAGTCTCACTAACAAAGTAATCCTATTTTGTAGTCTTGGAACCAGTGTACACGGAACATCCCCACCCAGATTTAATGTCACGTGGTCTGTGGCTGGGTACACTTATAAAGCATTGTTGGATCTTTTATGCAACTAAATTGATGCTTTATAACAAGGTACAACTGCAGTAGTAAAATGTTTAAAATATGTTTTCTAAGATTATACTCCATAAGCTAAATAACTGGGGTATACTTATTTAAAACATTTAATACACTGCATTCTAGAAATGTTACTTTATGCATAATGTTTAATATCCATTTCACAAATATCTATCTAACAAATACCTCCAGTTTATCTGACCGCATCAGCTTTGGACCAGGAACTCCTGTCAGTGGGACAGGTGGATTACCAGAAATCAGAACAGGTGTATTTTGTACAAATTCAGCTGGAACCAGGCTCATCCCAGTATGAGATACATATGGACTGAAAGCCACGGTAGGATTAGCTGTAAGTGGTGGAGTCACAGGAATAGACTGCATGATTAAAAGAAGAGAGGGAAAAAAAGATGTTAGAGGTAAACAGATTCTTATTACACAAGAAGGCATTCTTTCAGAAATACCAGAATTTCCTGAGCTGTATCAAAACTGTTTCTTCAGATTGACTTAATCACCACATAGAAGTTGTTTATAAACCAACAAATCTCTTCAAGTACTATTTATTGGCTGATAAAGAAAATGATATGATTTCAACAGTCATGAAGTTGCCAGATTAAATCTGAGTGCTCCAAATGGATTTTCTCTAATACTTCCTTTTTTAAAACCTAAAAACTATACCACCAGTGACAGCATATATATAATCTCCCATCTCCTCATACAGGCATGGCCTTTGCAGGTGGACTTCAGGTACTCCTGAAGACCTCCTTCCTTCCACACTTTCCCCCATCTGTCTGCTTAATTCAAAGACTGACTGTCCTACAATAGGCCCCACCTGTACTATTACCAAACACTGGCCTTGCTTCTTTTTGTGGTCTACCAACATTTATGGAAGACAGCCAGGAGATGAAAAAGAAAAGCAGACCTTAAAAAAAAGTATGTGCTTAAACAATTTCTTGCCATGTGCCTAAAATATGATTGGAGTAGATGTTGTATTTTGTTGTGTTTTTTTTTAAACTAGAGGCCCTGTTTCACAAATGAATAGGGCTTGCCTAGTTTGTCTTGATCTAGTGGGTCAGATGATGCAGTTCAAGAACAGGCCCAAAAAGTGCTACAAGAATCCCTATTAGGCACGAAGAGATAAGATAGCAAGGATAATATGGAACATAAACTAGAACATAACTTGCAAAGAAAAGCTGTAGAAATGCATAGTGATTACTGGTTTTCATATCTTTAAAAGTCTTGGATTCAGAGTTGTATATACACCGTGCCTTTATTATCTGTAACTGCATAAGTGACCTCTTTATTGTACTGCTTTTCAGTTTCTTCTACGCATATCTTTCTTTCTCGGTGTGGTTATAATTTCTTTGATAGCTTCCTTATCTGCTTATAGTAGCCAATACCTAGTGAATGACTGGCTGACAGATATACTCAGTAAGTTTTAAAAATAAAATTTAACAGTTTAATGAACACATCTGATTAAATGCTGTATATTTCCAATAGTGATTAAATACAGTAGCTGTTATGTAATCAGAACTGTCTCATTGTGTATTACTAATCACATGTGTTCTTTCTTGTTTTCTAATTCTTCAGCTACAAAGTAATCGTGAATCTATTGCATTGCCAAGCTGTGCCCACACTTGCTAAAATCACATTAATAGGAACAGTTCTGAATACAAAGAATAGAAAGCTGTGGAATCTGGAGGGGGCAATAGATTCTCTCTGCCACATGGTCCACACTTACTTGAAGCTTAACCAGCACTGCATTTGTCAGGAAGCTCCTGTTATAAGCTACATTTTGTTTAGATGGAAGCACTCTCCCATTAACACATTATCTTGGGTGAATTTATCAAATTAGCTGATTGGCACATTAAGAAGCCTTAAAAAAATTGTCTCCAAAGAACAGGTAGGAGTCACCAGGTTGAGCTAAGAATACATGGTGGCCTAGAGCTTAGGAGGAAAAGGGCAACTCCTACTGCCAGGAAAGAAGAGGTAGTGTTTGTGTGTGTGTGTGTGTGTGTGTGTGTGTGTGTGTGTGTGCATGTGTTTGTTAAGGTTCCTGGATAAATAGCTTAGGGCTGACTCTGTCCAACGAGATCTTGTGATATAAAGGGCTCTAAGGATCCGTTAAACTTCTCATTAAATGAGATGTGAAGCTCCAGCAATTAGCTAACATGACATTATTTTATTTAACGAGAAAAAAACATCTCTTGGAAACAACCACCCAGGCACGCTTTGGCAACAAGGCAGACCACATTAATTCAATGATTCATGATCATGTCTAAATCAGCAAGAATCTGGGAGGGCAAGAACTCCTTAAACCACACAATAGTTTTTGTTTTCTTTTGGGGTTTTGTGGTAACTTTCTCAGTGAAGCGGCCACTCCATTCTCTTGGGTACTTTTTGCTTTTGCCATTACAAAACAGACAAAATACCATTATTGCAACCATTAACTACTGAATTGTAACAAAGACTAGGAAATGAGTGGATTTTCCAGATTAAACTGCTATTAAACAGCTATCAATTACCAACAAACTAATATTAATTTAATTAATGCTCAATTTATTTTTAGGCCAAAAGTATACATACGAAATGCTTTTTAAAATAGTATTCTGAATTCATTCTGTAATTTTTTCTTCTTTGCAGGCCTCACTCACCAGAAAAATTCTCCTGATTCACTTCTGCTTTCCTTGGAATATATTTTAACCTACTTAGGTGTGTTATGAGCTCTAAGCATATACAAAAGAAGTCGCAAATAATCAGTCTATACACAAAATATAAGAAGCTCGCTGAAAATGTTTAGATCCTTTAAAGATTTCATCACAAACTCTATTGTGCTATCTTTAGATTTCAAAATTAGTAGCATAGCTTTTCTGACTCTTTCCTCCTTGGGTATAAATTTCATTTTATACTACGTTTATTGAGAAGCAGCAAGTTCTTCCATTCACAGCCCTGCGGTAGAGGCAGGAACTCCTGAGCTGCTCGTTTATTTTCAAATAGGCATTTCTGTTTTCTCACCACCACCTCTGCCCTAGGGTTACTACTCCATTTCATGAATTTGAGCATTGCAGGGCTTAGCTTTGATTAACAGCTATGGGTTAAGTTGAGCAGCCTGCAAGCTCACACATTCAGTTTTAATACGCGACTTAATTCCGCTTCTACCTATATATCACAGGCCTTAATGTTAGCTGAGCTAACATAAACCTAAATGTAGGCTAATCCTTATTCTTAAAGAAAAAATTGGCGGGGGGACTTAGGATTGAACATAGGGCTTTGTGCATGCTAATCAAAGGCTCCACTGCTGAGGTACACCTCTCAGCCCTAAGAGAAAAAGGTTCTTATAGTACATTGAATCTGATGTGTCTTTATAGGCTAATATAGTCTGGACACTTAAATATGTTTCAGATATTTAAATCTGAGTCTAATTTATTTACTAAATATTTGAAAATGTGAGAAGACTATTCCTCCTAAAACCAGAGGTAAAACAAAATGGTGGAGACAACAGATTTTATGAACATGCCCCCCTACACACACACAGTGTCTCTATGAGTATTACCTCCTGTGACAGGAATTGTCCTGTGTTCCCAGGGACTAGCACAGTGTCTAGGAATCAGCAAGTATTCAGGAAATGCCTCCTGAAAATTAATGAAATAGTCGCCTCCAGTAGCTCCCAATTTTTTAAGTCTGAGACTTCTCTGAGAGTCAGATAAAAGCTGCAGTCCTATCTACTGAAAAACCCATGTATGCACAAAACATTGTGTGCTGACTTCAGGGTTAAGGGCTCCATGACACTCATCTGTGGATCACGGTTACAGACTATGTATTGATTACGAAGCTAACAGAATAAGGATCCAAAAACCAGGCACCTCTTTTCAAATCCATCCTGGCCTATGTTTTTTTTGTGTGGCGGCAACCTTGCTTTACAGTTTTAAATGGTTGAAGAATATTCCAAGAATTATAAAATTTAATAACACATGGAAATTATATGAAATTCCTTCCATATCTGCACTGTGCTCTTTAGTAGACCTCTATTGCCAGAAATTGTGGCGATTTATTTTCTTTCTTGAATCAGGACCTATATAATATCCTCAACTTTGCCCCTTGTCCCACACAGCCTAAAATATTTACACTCTAGCCATTTACAGAAAAGTTCACTGTGCTAGCGGATTCAAAAAATTAAAAATATTTTGATTTACACAGTAAAGCACTAATTAGACACAAATCTGCTGATGTGAGTTTAATATTTTTGGTAAGATTCCACAAATTAAAGAAGCCTGGCTTTATGAACTAATACTGAACTATTCACTGAAGTGTTCTTTTAGGGATCTTAACTGTTTATACATCACTGGGCAATGAGTAACACTGAGGAGGTAATAGTTGGAATTCTACAAAAATTTAGGAGCAAATCATATATTGGTCTTAAAGGATTCTGAAGCATCTTGGAATAATAATCAATAAAATTCCTTGCCTCTTTATTCATTCCTCCATTTCTGGATACCTTGACTGATTTAGTATCCTGACTATTGTGAATAGTGCTGCGACAAACATGGGAGTGCAGGTATCTTGTTATAATGACTTGAATATAGTCTACAACGATTTCTGATGCATATCAAAAGCAGTAGAAGCATCCCAAGGTTTCCAACACATAGAAATGATAAAGCTTTGAGACAGAAATGCCAACTATCCTGATTTGATCTTTACACATTCTACACATGTATCAAATTATTGTACTGTACCTCATAAACGTGTACAAATATTATATGTAAATTTAAAAATTAGAAAAGACAAAAGTCAAAACTATGCTTTAAATAAATGTCTACATGCATATTATGGATGCTAACGTTTTACTTAAACCAGGTTGTTGAATGAACTAGTATAATGAAATTAAACTTTTTCATTATTATGCTAAATCAATCATGGTCTCACCAACAAAGTAGATCTATTTGTACTTACCTCAATAAAATCCAGGATCAGTTAACAATTATTTATGAATACTAAACATGTTAATTCACTTAAATGGCATTTTGAAAAACAGATTCATGATTCTGTATATAAAAATGTCACTTGTTTTAAAATTTTATTTAAAAAATTTTAGCATTGACACATAATTGTATATATATTTATGGTTACAATTATGTGCCACCTGTATAGAAAATACACCTTTGTAATACAAGAATATATTACATAATGGTGTATTATTTGTAAATGTTATATATTATGTAATATTTATGTGATACATGCATGTATTATTTAATAATCAAACCAGAGAAATTAGATAGCATTAATCTTAATGATCGTTTCTTTGTGGTGAGAGCATGTGAAATCCAATTTTCTAGCTATTTTGAAATATACATTATTTCATCATTGGCTATGGTCACCCT